ACCACAGCGGTAAAGATGACATATCTGTCACAGCATTAAAATCTTGCTCTGGCGATCATACTACCCGCCTCGCTTTGGAAAATCGCCTTATCCACAGCCTTGGCGTTCTTAGTCCAAGAGGTATCAATATCCAACATACCTTCATCTAAATAGTTCTAATCTTATTACATTTTAAATGTTAATTATTTTATTTTATTTCATATTATTACCATATTCTATTTCTTATCAATATCATTTATGTATCATTAACACTTGCATTTCTTTTATTCCCAGTATTGTGACTATATTTTTTAGCCATCGTTTATTTTATTTTATTTCATTTATTCCGCATCACATTTTTTAAAATGTCGCTCACGTCACCCCTTAGAGATCTACATACTCTCCATTCCTCTTTTGTGTAGTCCACTTGTGTTTGAAAAAGGCTGCCTGGCCGAAACGTTACGTTGTGTTGTTTTGTGCACGTTTTCCTTTTTCCCATTTTGTTGAGCTTTTTAGTCAAATTTTTCTGGAATTTAGTGTAGTGGCCAGACATTGTCTGAAGATTATCTATCTATTCGAATCCGTATCCAAAAAGGTTTGAATAAAACAAGGGGTTTTAACGTGTTTTTGGTGCTGTTTTAATATCCTACCCAAACAGGGGGAATCCACAGGTCACGGGACAGTCTAATATATCAGGTGGTGGTAGATAGGCTGCTTGCAGTCGTGTGGCCTAGGCTGCATGCAGTCGTGGGACCTAGGCAGCACTCTCTCGTGAGACGTAGGTGGGTTGGGGGTATAGCCAGTTCTATATGTTTTGGAGTCGTTAAAACTTTTAAAAGCATTACAAAGCCGGAAAAACCAGTCTTACCATCCTCTAAAATATTGGACTGTCTCGTGACGATAATAATAAAGAACGGTTTACCCCCCCCCCCCCCCTCTTCTCCAGGTGGCATCTCTTGAAAACTATAACACATGACCTCCTACGCCCTTCTCTCCCGACCCTTTAAAAAATGTGATCACAAAGAAGAGGACAGAAAGAAACATTTAAAGGACTATTAACAAGAGCTTGGGGAAAAAAAATCCACATAAATCAAACTATCAGCTAACCTAACTCATCTTTAGGTGCCTTGTAGACTGGCGTGAGCGATCATGCCTCTCCACAATCCGCGATCTCCTGCAGCATGCATCCGTTCGTGTGTTGACACACCTCCATGCCTTGAAACAAGTCTGTCAAGAATCTTCTCTCGTGTTTTTTGTTTTATATATATTTTATTTATGATTAATCAACATATCCTTTGCATAACGTCGCTTTCTGCACGGCCCGCATAAAAGTCTCTCTTTCTCTAGCCAAGTCTACAGCCCCTCTGAGTCCCACTCCGGTGGTAGTCGGAGACCTTAATATAACCTAACTATTCAATCCAGCCCTATGTGCTTTTATAGCTAATGTATCTTCAGTGTCCTTATCCACGTTCGCGGAGGTCAGCTTCTGCATCGTTTCCCGGAAACTGCATCCTCTATCACCGTTCTGCCCCGACCACCATGGCTCTTGACATATCCACAATATTCCCAGCTGTCGGCAGAGGATGCTGTTTATGAGCCAGTTCTCTTGATGTCCCAGTCATACAAGATTTCGAATTAAACTGAACAGATTATTTCAAGTAGAAATGCACTCAAATTTCAAAGTCACTTGACACCACCTTGAAAACTTCCCTGCGCCCCTTAGAAATTTTCTTGCGCCCCTAAGGGGTGGGCTCCCAGGCTGAAAACCACCGATATAAAATGACTTTGGTTCCCAAATTGGCGGTCTAAAATTGGGTAAGTACACAGAGAGCAATTAGAACAACTAAAAAGTTTCCGCTATCTACAAATGATGGAAGAAGCGAAAAAGGAAATCAAAAAGAGAATGTGAATGGCTAAAACCGTCTTCAGTAAGTTACTTACAGCTAGAGAGAAAAACAACACACTAAAAATAAGAATCGTCAAAGGTTATGAATACCTAATCCTGCTTTATGGTGAACAAACCTGAACAAAATGAACAAGCAACTAGAAAAACGAGTTGAGTCTCTCGAAATATGAGGAAGAACACGCAAGATATGGGGCGACACCATCAGGAGCAATCTAACAGAAATGAACTCCAACTTGAACAATGCATTGGAAAAAGCGCCCAAAACGAACCTTATATCTTCCCCAACACCTCGCTGATGTAAATGGTGGAAGAGAAGAAGAAGAAGAAGAAGATGATGAAGAAGAAGACAGTAGAATAGGTCATACTTCATGGAAACTAAAACAGTCTAATGCAAAGGTTGCGAGGGGACTTCAAATGAGAAGAGAGTTACTAACACAAAGAAAGAAGAGACAAATGGGTTACTCTGATCACATTAAAAGACATAACACGCCTTTGAAGACCATACTGGAGTGAAAGGTCGAAAACAGAAGAGCAAGAGGTGGGCCACGATACAAATGGGAGGAAAATATCAAGAGATGAACTGGCAGCAGTCTGAAAGAGTGTAAAACCAGGGCAAGAGACAGACCGTGTTGGAGACATTGCATCCAACCGTCACTGTGAAGACGGCGCATGATTGATTTTTTTGAAAATTGGAAAGCCGTTTAGTTATGTACAAATGTGGATCACCATAATCACCAATATAATGTATGCCGTCCTCCGTCCCAAAATGGGGCCCAACTTTTAAAAATTATTTAAAAGCCCCACCAGGGTTGTTCTCCTGAAAGGGGTCTCTGAGACTTAGGCCTGGAGGATTCTCATCCGAATGGTGGCACTTGGTGTCACCGGGTGTTACTCGCTCGTCGTATGGTCCATTGGCTGGCCGGTTGACCGCCTCGTCTCCTGAAAGGGGTTTCTGAGACTTAGGCCTGGAGGATTCTCATCCGAATGGTGGCACTTGGTGTCACCGGGTGTTACTCGCTCGTCGTATGGTCCATTGGCTGGCTGGTTGACCGCCTCGTCGTCGGTCGGGACAGTATTTAGGTCTGTCTCCTTTGATCGCATCAACACTGAAAAAGTCCATTTCGAGGCTGGTTGTTAGTGAGTAATGTTAATTCATTCTATATGGCGCAATAACCAAGTCACAATTTATCCTTAAAAGCTCCACATTTGGGGACGCTGGTTGAACGTGATGATTTTTTCTCTCTCTCAAAATCGGATTGGCTAGTGTAGATACTGTGCTGGAAAACAAAATTCGTCATTAACAACCAGCATCCAGAAGGGAAAACTGTAGGTTATAAGTGTGATTGAACTATGTGCGCCATATGAAATGGCTGTACATTGCACGCCACCACGAAAAGGACTCCTGCAGTGGTGAAGCGTTCAAAGAGGTTAGTTGCGTATCCTTTACAAGACGTTGCAGAACCAACCTCAGCAGCCCCTGGCTGTTGTGTGGTTTCTCTAGGCAATTTACGTCCAGTAGTTTGCCATTGTTTACTGGACGGTCGGCCCACTAACACCACTGTCGAAACTAACGCAAGGCGCATGGCCCGCAGCTGGGATCGAACCCGGTACCTCGGCATTACGAAGCGTTCGCATCGACTTAGCCACAGAGCCGACACGCGTTCAAAGAGACAGGTCCAAATACTTTCTCAACCGGCCACTAAGTCGTCTACCGATCAACCAATGGGCGACCGGTCACAGACTTTCAGTTAGTAGCCCGGAAGGAGGGCAGCAAGCATACAGGCATGAGAAGATTGTTGACCATTTTCTCCTTCTGCGTTCGACTTCATTCATGCTAAACATTGAGTCCCGTCTGGGTTAAAAATAGGATTGTGCGTTTAAAGTCGCCACCGGACCCCCATAGCTTCTCTCGCAATGTGGATCCCCTGGGCCAGATCCAGTCTTTGCTGGGAGAGGTTAGGGCAGTACTGTAGTATGTGATCAGGGTTATGTCTTTCTGCTCCACAATCACAGGCAGCAGATTATTTTATGCCTATTCTGTACAGGTGTGCTCGAAGACCACAGTGTCCAGTCCGAAGTCTAAAAATTGATGTTTGTTCTTTCCTGTTGAGTTTGTTTATGCTGTCACTCTCTGATCTGTAATCTCCAGTCTGCCTTCTCCACTCCCGCTTGAAAGACTGCTTTAGCACTGTTTTGGTTTCTTTGTAGCTGTGTGGTGGATGAGGTTGTGGTTGTTAAAACCATGACAAACAAAAGTTCAAAGTATCAGGGACTCCACAACTTTAGCGCCATGCAAGGTCATATTTTTTTTCCAGCATGACAATACGGCCCGAAAACATTAATATTCATCAGACCGCCTATGACCTCTAACCCCAACTTCCCACCAATGAAGCAATGGCTGGTAGAGGGATGGCGGTAATGCTGACCCGCCGTAGCCCTAACGTTTTGTTTTGTGTGATGATTGTGAATCAACTTTGCCGCCATGACAGGGAGTCGTCGATGCCTGCACTAAAATGGTGACTTCGTGCAGTTGCTTATTCATTTTGTTGCTGCCGACTTGAACACTGGATACATTACACTACCTCCTTTCGTATTGTGTATTATTTTTTAAGTTTGCTTCTATTCTGTGGACTGTAAAGATGGATTTATGGTGCACCTAAACGTAATGAAGCTTACAAGGACGTGGCCAGATCACGTGGTCATTCTGTTATGTTGTGAACAAACCAAGCGCCGTTTTATTTTACCCGTTCAGTGCTAGACAAGCGCACTATTCTGTTACTTAACAACACTCTGTTATTTCGAAATTAGCAATAGTGGATGTTTACGTGTGTGGAGTTTCATAAAGGAAGAAAATTATATAATATGATGTGCCCAGTGATGGTTGACCTCACCTTTCTCCGTGTTTGCCTTTAAGTCACGTGCTTTTTGTCGTCTGGAGGCTTGTCCCAGTTTCCCCAAACTTACGGCGTGCATGTTTTTTTTTTTTTAAAGTCCTCCCTGGCGATAAACCACGCTGTTTTTTCTAGTCTGTGAAGCGTTTGTGATAGGTAATTATGGAGTTAAAGCTGTAGGGGTAGTTTGTTTTAGTCGCTAATGAGATTGATTGCGTGTATTTATGTCGGGCTCGTCAACGCTGAGGATATGTTTGGCTGTAATGGCACCCGCGCTGACTGAAGTCACTGCGCGACTCAAACTGCAGGACACCTCGGTCAGCAGGGAATCTCTACCGCCCCGACTCGACAATAATTCCAGCGATATTAAAATTCCAGCGGTGCAGCAGCGGTCTTGTCAGGTGATCAGCGTTGATTTGAACGGCCTAGGAGGGGGTGTCAAGACCCCGAAGACAGTGGAGGACCGGCCGGCGGCGTCGCCCCACTTGTCGCGTACCGTCAAGCGTAACGGAACTCACCCCAACCCCACACGGCCAACAGCAGCAGCAGTTGTCAGTGCTGGTGATAGCCCGAGAAATTCTCATTTTTCTTGTTCTGTGGGCACTACCTCCAACACTTTGACAAACCTCAAGGCATTAAATATCTCAGCATCAGAAACCCCCAGCGGTTTTTCCTTCAGATCAAATCTGATTGACAATTTGCAGATAATGAGTCAGCCCCAGCTCGTTGCTGAGAAACCAGTTGAGCAAGATAAGGCTGAAGTTAACCCCACTTCTTTTGACGAAGGATCAGTACCTGCAGGTAGCAGCATCAAATTTGTGGTCAAGCCTCCAGTTATGGTTAATGGTAATGATGAATTGACTAGGAGTAGTGATGCAGAGTTGGACATCAACTGCGTGAGGAAAAGAGTGCAGCTGAAAAGAGAAATTCGACCAGAAGATCACAAAATTCATTTTACTGCATCTTCTACACAAACGAACAGCAGTGAGAAAGGAATGGGTATGTGCCTACAAAATTCTTCTACTTATCCCACTTCGGGTTTGGAGACTTCATCTTCATCAAAGTCAGAATCGCAGATGGATGATAAGACTAAAGAGGATTTGAGAAAAGAATGTGGAAAGAAACAAGCTTACTTAGAAAGGAAGGTTGATATCTTGCTTCGGAGATTGAAAAGAATGAAAGGTAAAGTCGTGGAAGCTCATACAAGAGAGCAGTTGAAATGTTTTGTCAGTTTTCAGCACAAGAACCTGCAGAAGGTTGCTAAAACAATAAAAAGTGAAGCCCCAGGACCTGATGAACTAAAGGAGCATTTTCTGAGCAGTGAGCAGGTTAAAAATATGTCTACGGCTCAGCTGGTGAGGTTAGTCAAGACCTACCAGCCGAATCAGTCAGCAGCATCAGCAGCAGCCGGTGATGTGCCCACAAAATCTTGGCCTGGTGGCTGCAGTGCCGTGGTCATGGATTCTCCGCTGCGGGAACAGTCCTTGAGGACATCTGAGAGGTTGGCGCAGAGAGTCGAGGCAGCCGCAGCTGAGCTGGATTCTGATGCCACTGCTAGTAGTTCTGGCGGGGAGAGTGGGGATGAAGACTCACCGTCACTTTTACAACATCCCGTTGATCTACCTCCACTGTGAGTTAAAGCTGTTTTTATTAATTTTCATTCCCTTCTTTTTCTCTTCGTCTCTTCACATTCATCGTCGTCATCACCTTTATCATTTACACACACACACACACACACACACACACAACCCCCACTATGAGTTTGTTATATTATGTTATATGAGTTTATGTTATGTTGTTTTAGTTATTTGGCTCATTTATTAATCAGTGTAAAAGATCTGAATGTTGTTTTCAGCTAGAGTGAAGCGAAAGGTCTTGGTAGAACAAAATTGTGCTCTTTTTAATCTAAAAATTCAAGGATGGAGGTGGAGGCAATCACTACATCTCTGAAGTTTATAGCAGACAATTGTTACCAGGGAAATTCTAATATCTGTGTCAGTATTGGGAAGGGTTCAGAATGGGAAAATGGGACATGAGTGGAAACCAAGCTGCAGCACGTCATCAGTACAGGGACTCGTGTGGATATACTGTCTGATATATGCAGGAGTGCAAGGGAATGAAAGAGTAGATTTTCTGGCTACAAAAGCGATAACTTTAGGAACACTTGTTATAGACAGAGGAAACATTTTTCAGCAAATTCTGATAGAGTACACAAGGCTAGATGAAATAACGTGTGAGAGAAATGTATGAGAGAAAGAGAACAACATATATACAATAAGTCCCCTGTGTGGGTTCCGGGGCCCCATTGTGGGGGAAAACAAGAATAGACCCACTACCTCCCCAAAAGCATGTCGTAAGAGTCGACTAATTGGGGAGCTTCCTTTGAAGTCGGAGTGCATCTGCCGGAGAGGCAAGGAACCAACAGTCTGTATTTAAGAGAATGAGATCTGTAAAACTGATGCACACGCAACACTCAGGTTCTGGAGCAGGACTGCAGTTCAGTAGTGGACGAGCAACCAGAACTTTCCGCCAGAGTGTACAGCTGTTGAAGAAGAAGAAGGTATACAATAAGTTTGTTACGGAAACAGTCAGCATCTACACCTTAAGATATTTGCTGCAGAGACAAAGCATCTGTGGATGTGCCTGCTTGCTGTGATGTTGATTCTTCAATCAGTTATCACTTTCCTCCTCTGGGTTGTCCATCAGCACCATCAAATGTTTGAACAAGTTAGATACCAAGTGACAAGCTACTGTCATCATAAAGTTATGCAAAATATGAGAAGGAATCCAGCTTGCTGGAGTATCTTGGACATAATAGCCTAGAATGAAAAAAAGGCAGTCCTAGAGACAGATAAAAACTGTAGAAACTGCTTGGAAAACTTAGACGACAGTGTGTGAGGAGTGGCTGGCCAAGTGGTTGTGTTGGGCTTTCATACAGGACGTAAATCTCACTTCACTTCTTGATCCACTGGAGCTTGTTTAGTTCTCTCCCAAAGCTCTAGTGATTATGTCATACCATTTAATTCCCTCTATTCTGCGAGGCACTAGTTAATTAATGTTTTTAGTTTATTATACATAAATGAATGAATCATTCTGAGGAGAATGGTGTTGTGGGAAATTACCAGGGGATCTGGCCACTGCTCAACACGGATAAGGATAAGACGAGAAGGATGTACAGAGTTACTTGTACCTTCTAATCAGGAACTCTTTCTTTGCTGCTGTAGATGGAGAGGGAGCGCATATAGTGGTGTCCCAAGTACTATGATGTCGATTCTTAATACAGCTGTATGTTTATTAGTAATTGCCTTACTTGTTCTGCCATGTTTCTGCTCAATACAACAGTACTGATTTAACATCAGAATTAAACAATGTTTGTAGTTTTAGTCTTACTAGGGTTCTGTATCACAATGTTAGCCCTCTTGAAAAAGGATGCACAACTTCTGGTCCTTTAGTTAACTCACCTAAGTATTGTCAGCAGATAAAGGTCCTGTGTGTTTTCTCTGATGCAGTGTATACATTTTTGTGTGTGGCCTTCTAGTACTTTTGTTTTTTCTTAAAATAATTGTTTTTAACAGTAATATGCATTAACGAACGGAGAAGAAATATATTTGAGAAAACTTCCTGTCCACAAAAGTGTCATAATAATTTCATCAGCTTTCATTTTTAGCTGCTGCTTGGCTCATTGTTGAGATATCTACCGACCTTGAACTAACTAAAACGTCAGGGTCTCCGTGGTTGACTGATCTTGAAGCTAATGCATTTGCTTCCTTGCACTGGGGCATTCCAAGTGGTACACACACTAGTATTCTCTTTCAGGGTAGTTGTATGGTGTTGGCATAAAAAAAAGAGTTTGTAAAGTGTCGTTTGTTTAGTGATAGGTAGGGCAGAGTCGGGGTAGTTGGGCCCTGACATAGAAACAGGTCGTGGTTCAGCCCTTTGAGTGGCAGGGGTTCCTCTCCCCCCCCCCCCCCCCCCCCCCCCTCTCTGGCTGCAAATCCGACACTTTCTTGACGTCAGGTTACATTGTAACCATCAGCGGATCCCTGTCAGCCAGATACTCATGTAGATATTAATCAATCCTCATCCCACCCAGATCCACACCAGGCAGAGACAAACTGTCGCCACTCAAGTTCCACCTTGAGCCATTCTCTCATCTCCAGTTTTGTCCTTTGTGTATCCTTGAGTTCAGCCTCAAAGATTCGCCTCCAAGTGCCTGCCTCTTCATGGCTGTCCTTGTGGTGTCCATTGCATTGCCTGTTTCCGTCGTCTCTCTTTCTTCAATCTGAGGACGTGTCCAATCCACCTCCATCTTCGTTTTTTATTTTATTTTCTAAATTTACATCTTTTAGGTCTGTCATTTCTTGTAATCTATAATTACTAAAGTTTTAAAATCTTTCCATGTGAACCCCCACTATCTTCTGAGAAGTTTTCCCTCACACTTCTTCTTTATATTTATTTATGTTTGTCTCTGTTTCTGGCCACACGTACAACGCCTCTTAGGACATGCTGCGAGGAAGCGATTTTCCCATTATTTATGACACCGGGCACCACATGGTGACACGTAGATATACGTGTGGCAGGGAATGAACAAGCAGATTGTTTGGTTTAAAAAAAAGGTGATAGCAACAGGTCAGAAACACTCACACAGGACAAGGCAGACATTCTAAAGACCTTCCATAAACAAACGCTATCTAAGGTACAAAAGAGGGATAAAACGTGTAAACGTGTGTGAATTTATAATTAAGTTTAGCTCTCCCCCCCCCCCCCCCCCATGTGAGAGAGAGTACACCGTGTGATCAGTCACTGTGTTACTAGAGCAGTTTTCGTCTACACGTTCAGACATTTGCTGCAGGAGATCGAACATCTGTCGGTATGCCCGGTATGCTGTCTGATGTGAAATCATTTCATTTCTCTAACGCAAATGCACTCCAACTTTGAAGTATAGCGACCGTATGAATTCGCGAAATGGGTTTGAAAACGCTCCTTCCCCTTGACTGGTTATACATATACAAATATTCTCGCGCTCAGTGATGGTTTTGGTTGAGCAGATGTTAGGCATTCCTGCGGTCGTCATAAACTCAGTTTATGGAGATTCATTAATATATTGCCGTGCCAGTACGTATCGGTTTCTGAAATCTTTTTAGACCGCACAGCTAGTCTAGGAAGGGACAGTGTGTTGTGTTCAGACTTAAGTCGAAGCATAACAACATGTGCTTAAATTGTTCGCTGTAGGAAACACGGAGATGTGCCACCAGAAAATGGTGAGCATGTGCTACAACACTTTAAGCTGACAAAAGAGACGCAGTCTGGGTCAGTTTGAACCACACTGAAAACAAAGCTGTATGGTACACGGGAAGATTTGCACTGCGCCGTAGTTTTCATACAGGCTAGCGGCCTCCTCGTTTGTTTTCTGACAGAAGGATTGAAGAAGAAGAAGACTGGTTGGTACTGACAAAATACAGTCGTGGCTAGAGGCGCCACCTGCGGCCAGAAAGTCATAGGTTCGAATTCGCATCAAGTCGGCTTTTGGGACAAAACGCTGTGGCCACTTCTCCACCACGGAGCCCTCAGGGCAATTCGGCTAAGTTTACTTAGGGTCACAACTGTCAAAATGGGGATGGTCACTGGTCAGATTCCCAAGACCCTGCATAAAAAGATAGTTGTGACAATACAGTTGGCAGTGATTGGCGAGCTCCTTGCTAAGCCTCCGAGGGCCAGCATTCTTACCTGTTTTATCTCCCCGTGTATGTATTGCCATCACTTTCTTCTCCTTGCGCGCCCTCGGCTTTCTCCTCAGATCGTTAACAGATTTGATAGTACGTATTGAATGTGATGATCAAGCCACTTCGGCTAACATTACTTATATTTGTTTATAGGGTATGTTGTTATGCTGGTTGACCCGAAACACTGATTTGATTCAGACCTGGCCCACGCCTACCTACCCGGTACATGTTAATGATGATGGATTGGTTGGATCCCCAGGCTCGTACAATTTGGAGAAATTGCTCCTCTGTCGCAGGGCTGGCGATTCAGATTAAGTTTACTCATGGGCCAAAATGTAGACATTGGGAATCGTCAAGGTCCGATTCTTATCGTAGAAAGATAAAAGAAATCGCGGGCCACATGCTAGGTCTCCGCAGGCCGCAGTAGAATAGCCCTCCTCTGTTGTGTACAGGCTATTGATTGATGACCGGCACCCTCACACCTCACACAAGCCTTAGACCTCAAGCTTACACACGGCTGTTGTTAAGGTCAGCTACTGTGTCGACGTGGTTTTCTGCCCGCGACGAACACGTTTTTTCCCCTGGGACCATCACTTTCTATATTTAGCACAAGTCAACCGTACAATCACAACACTGGGAGATAGACCAGCAGGCTCGCGTGTGCTTGTGTTCCTGTGTGTGTAGTTCAGTAGCCACAACAGCCTTAATGTGTGGCTCTGTTTGTGTGTGTTTGAGAGAAAAGATTGAACGGTTTTAAATATGACTTTGCAAGTATAGGTGAGGTGTTGTCCTCTCTCTCGTATCTTTCCCTCTATTAGATCTCTTCTTCTTCCTTCGCCATTAAGAGTGACGCCTGCTACCTTATGTTGAAGTTTGCAGCCAGGCTGTGATATCTGCTTCTTTTGAC